TTTGTTTTTTTTTTTTTTTTTTTTTTTTTTTTGTGCTTTTGTTTTTCTTATTTAATTAGTGCGTTTGGTATCTGCAGAAAAATATTCTGGGGTTGCAGGTTTTTCTTGCTATGCAATCTGAAAGGATGTCTGCCTTTGGGGTTGCGTTCGCGGAAACTCTCTCTGTTGAGCTTCGGAGGCAAGGTGTTGCGCGTGTTTCAGAGTGTGTGAGTGGTATCATACAAGGTTTACGTGTGACGACATCGGATGGTAATGAAGCTTCCGCTCATTCCTTTACTGTCTGTCTTGGGCTTGCATCTATGGGACTTGGCGACAGGGAAGTTATCGCAGTTGCGGAGACGTTGTTAAAGTTGTTCAGCCCAATCTTTCTGAAGACACACAAAGTTTCGCATTGCGTATTTGAGTTGAATGATAATTCATTCACAGACCGATCGGTTGGACATCTTTCATTGCTTCTGTCACGTTGTTCCCCTCCCTTAGAGATTCTTGATCTCCGTGGTATTACGTTAACAGCTGACTCTTTACGGCATATTGAAGAGGCTCGTTTATTGTCTTCGAAGCCATGTATGTTACGGTTAACAACCTCAGGGAAAGAATGCATTGAAGAAGGGAATTCTGAATTAGAAGGGTCGTCAGTTTCACGTGTGTTGAGTGTGAATAGTGTAGTACGCCGCGGGGTAGACACTGAAGCACTTCAGAAGCGGCGGAGCGCTCTTTTCGGATCAGCACGCCGTAGCAGAGGTGAGAATGAAGTATCTAGTTCAGGCCCAGTTGATTCCTTGGCATTTGCTTGTGTGGGTTCCTCTTATGCAGAGAATAAGCTAACGAGAGGCTATTCGGATATGGCTGCGGTGGGTTCTGTCATTGGTGGAAAGAGTGAAGAGGTGAGGCATCATGCAGAGAAAGAACTGGAAGGACATGGTGCCGTTGGGGCGGTTTTGGCAACTACCCGGGAAAAAGGTTATGCACAGCAGTATGCTGATATGAAGGCTAATGAAAGAAAGAGTGTTCATTCAATGCATCAGCGTAATGATCAACATCAAGAGCAGCATCAACAACAACAACAACAACAACAGGAATTGCGTGTAGACTCTGAAAACTCACCACTGGAGGATGATGAGGAACCATTGGATGTTACAGCTAACCTCAGTCCTCTGCTAAAGTCCGTAGTAGATCTTTCCAATACAGTCCTCACTGGGAAATTGCGTGCACTTCATGGTACTGATGATATTTGGGAAGTGATTGAGTCTTATTCTGTGTTGAAGGGAGAAACAGGGTCAAGATCCTCTTCACAGGGTGATTCTCTGCAATTGTCAGCATCATTAACCTCGGCTGCAGCTTTTCAGTCTCTCACTGTTTTGAGTATAGGACAAAACGGTCTGACGTCATTGCGTGTTCTTCCACCATCACTTTTACGGTTGGATGTGAGTGGTAATAATCTGCGAGAACTCACTGGTTTAGATCAGTGTAGGATGCTTACCCTTTTAAATGCCCGTCACAACCTTCTTTCGTCAATGTTGGGACTGGAACGGAATCTTGCCCTCTCTCATTTATTTCTCAGTCACAATAAAATATCTTTTGTGGATGGTATTGCACATTTAATCCTTTTGGAAACACTTGATCTTGCTCATAATAATCTTAAGACGCAAGCTTCTATTCGTCCACTGTCATTGTCTAAGGGGTTACAACACGTAATGCTACGCGGGAATCCTGTTATGGAACGCATAAAAGGTTGTTATCGTCCTTTGTTGCGCAATTTATGTCCCTCACTTCTTTTTATTGATGGAAATCGTCTCAGTTACTCCCGTGCGGCTGCAAATGCACAAATTGAAAGTAACCGTCTTCGATTACCTTATGCGCCTCATGGTATTCCAATAAGTTCTGATATTTCGTTGGTACCTACTGAGAAGGTGGCAGCAGACGAATCACAGTGTGCTAACTATATGCATCTTTTGACACGAGGTGCTACATCAACACTTGGTCAGGGGTACAGTAACACCTCTGAAAAAACTCGTATTATCCAAAACAGTAAGATACAAAATAGAGATAATGAAAAACATGGACGTACAAAACCTTCACGATGTAATGGTGGTGAACCATTACGGAAAGAACTTTTAAAACAATTAGCCCAACAGTCTAAAAAATATCTTGAATCTGTTCTTGTGGAACGACTTTCAGTTTTACAATCCTCATGCGTTGCTGATGTCTCACAGCAAGAAAACATACAGAGTAATGGTAATGATAATGAGTTTTTAGTTTCTTCCAAGGATTTAAATGGTTGTCCAAGAAATTCGTTGGGAAATTGTGAAAAAGAGTCTCATGAAGAACCGCACTTACCTCAGGGTAACAAAGGAAGACAGGTTGACTTGCCAGTGACAGCTTCATCAATCCAAGAAGTTGAATGTACATCAATGAAGGACCATCCATTTGATGATAAAACTGTAGTAAAAAATACGTATGCAACAACGCAGCGTGATGAAACACTTAATCACGATCAGTGGATGAAAGTCCGAGATGGTTTGGGTGCACGAGGCGTACTTAATTCTCCTTTTGGTGATACACCTGATCGTGAGTTGCAGAAAACTGAAACACCTGAGAAAAAGAATAATAAATCTCGTGAAGATACTGTACTAATGTCACCAATTCGACCAGATGTAGACGAAAGTCATGCAATCTCTGCAAATATCACACAAATATTGTGCGATATGGATATGTTAGAATCACAAACAGGTTCTCGTGGTACCAGATCTTATTCTTTAAAAGAAAAACCTCGAATGAAAGAAGCTACGGTAAGACGTCCTTTGCTCTTGTCTCCATCATCTGCTTCTTCACCTGTAAAGGCTTACCAAATTAGGTCCTCTTCGTGTTCTTCACAGTGTATAAAACGTGTTCCTTCTTCTTCGTTAAACAGTAAACAAGACTTCATTACATCAAGTGAACCTGTTATTTTTTCTCCTCCCCCTCCACTGATGTCTCTGCGTGTAGATGATACTGCAACCAGAGAAAGATTTATCAGGGATTGGGTAACACAGTTATATGAAGATGCAGAGTCTGTACATGAAGCTCTTCGTACTCTTGTTTCTCTTTTTGATACAGAGTGGTCTGATAAAAATAGAATTCGTGTTAAGTCTTCCTTTTCTATTTCTTCACTTCGACAGGAAAGGCAGCAATGCATTGATATTCTTGCTAAGAGTGGAATGTTATTGGATACTGAGGTCCCAGTAGAAGTTGTTGATTTTTACCGTTTTACATCAGATGAATTAAATGGTTCAATTGAAGAAGAAATATACAATAATGAGAATGATCAAAGAAATGAAAAAAATATTCTCAATAAAGTTGATTTGGCTTCAGAAAGAAGTGAGGTTTTACGCTGTATACATCTCATTGGAGATGGCAAGACGTGTCTACGGTATATAGTACTACTTATAGAAGAAGAAAAAGAAAATGAACTTCAGCGATATGTTGATGAGGTGAAGACATTGATATTTTGTGATTAGTTTTTTTTTTTTTTACAATTGCCATAGATAACTATTTATAGTACCTGTCTTTGTTTTGCACAGGGGGTTTTCATTTTTTTTTTTTCTTTTTGTGAATTTACCTTCTGTTTCTTTCATTATCTCTCTCTCTCTCTCTCTCTCTCTCTCTCTCTTTTCTTGTTTGATCATCTTGTTTTATATACTAAAATTATATAAACGATTTTTATCCTCAATATATCTTTCTATTTTTTTTTTTCTCTCTCTCTCTCTCTATTTTTTTTTTTTCTTTTTCGTTTCTCTAACCATTCTCTTTCTTTTTCTCTCTATTTCTTTCTTCTCATCCTTCTCTGTGGTGTTTATTGGCCGCCACGTGTGTGTGTGTGTGTGTGTGGGTGGGAGTCATTTCCTCAAAGGACGCACGGTGCTGGATGCATGTGCCGCCGCCAATCTCACATCCGCCGGATCTCTGCATGGACGGTGCGGTTCCCGCATGGTTGCGCCAGCCGCCGCAGACCGAACAACTGCTCACATGTTTAGCAGATGTGCTTTCCACGATAACACGGAGAGATGGGAAATCAGCTACCGCACAGGAAAACACAGATCCCACACCATCTATGAAGAGAGAAAGGGAAACGGAAGACACTGTGAATGATGATTGTTTAACTCCTGAGAGTGATACGAACACACAGAAGGCTTTTTTAAATGACTTATGTCTCTACTTATTATCTGAGAAACAATATGGAGAAGTGGGTGATGCGAGTAAAGTTCCGCTACTACTTCCTTTTCTCCCTAAAGGAAGAAATCAAAAGGCGAAGTCCATTTTCTTAAAACTTGCACGTCGTCCATACTGGCGTCGTAAGTTATTGATTCCATTACTGCGTCATTGGCGTGGTAAGGGTGAGAGTGGGTATTCTTTTTTATACACTCTTCTATTGAACTGTATAACAGATGTTATTGGAGAGGAGTTATTGTCTCCAGAATTTTTCTTAGAAAAATCTATTGCAGTAGATACTAAACCTAATACAGCTGAACATGAAGTGTTATCCTCTCATAAAAAAGAATATTTTACACAATTAATGCAAGACTTGGAAGAAATGGTAAAAGTGACAGGATCATTTCGTGGAATGTGTGTTGGTATTGATATCATTTTACGTAATAACATAGTGTTACTATTAAAACGAGTAAATCAGCTCATGATAAGAGCTTCTTCTGAGGGTGAAAATGTTTTTCTTCTTGAAGAATCAAACAATGAAATAGAACAAATAGTTAATGTCATGACTCAATTAACATGGCAAGACATGTACACTTTTCTTTCTAAATGTGTTACAGATGTTAAAGGGATATTTGATGAAACTATGTGGACTTTTTTTATGTCCTTGATTTCTGCATATATTGGAGCACTTTATTTATTAGAAATGGAAAGTCTAAAATCTTCTAATATTTCTTCTAATACGATTAAACAAATTGAGGCACAACGTATGTTTTTTGAATCGCTACAGCGAGAATTATTAAATTTTCTTACTGTACAACTTTCTACAGATCGTTTAGCTGCAGGTGAATCACTTATAACAGTACATAATGTTTTATTTCGTCAAACCTTTCACTGGAAAGCAATAATGGAAGCAGAACTAGCGATGGAATTACTACCAAATATTTTCTTATCGGTTCCGTTAGTGAAGTCTTGGGCTCGACATCAAGCGATAACAGCATGGGGACGTACTGTACGTCTTCTTCAAACATTTTTGCAACTTCAAGAAGTTAGTGAAGATGTACCGAATACCATAGCAGATGCTGATGCTGCTGATTCTATCTCTTCTGCTATCCGTCAGTCACAACGTAATTTGTTAGAAGAATATATTGAAAATATAACATGTGGAAACCTTCGGTATTTTGTATCTTCAGACCGGGAACGTGCGAAGGAGGAGAGGAAAAGAGAGGATAAAAAATGTGAGAAATCTTGGTCTGTGTATTTTTCTGAATTTTTTATTCAGATATATCATCCAAGTTGTTTTACTATTCTCTCTCTTGAAAAGCAGGATATACTAGTTGATTTATTACGTCAACTGTATTCTTTGATAATGAATCAGGATTTTAATGATGTAAAAACATCATTAAAATCACTTTTAATATCAAATTTTGAAGGAGGTGTGATGGGAGAGGCAAATTTACTGAGTTGGTATGTACGATGTGTTCATGACCGAGTTGTACAAGCGTTAGGAGAGAATTCACCTTTGCTTTTATGCCTTTTGTGTTCTCTCTTTGTGTTGTTTGAACGAATGGGGAAAACGAGTCTTAATGTACATGAGACTTTACGAGAAACACTTTTGCCAACACTAGCGAAATTGTGCTGTGATCGTTCTAACGATAAGGGTAAAGATAATAATAATAATCATCATCATCATGATGATCATTATGGTGATAATGATCATGATGATGAAATGGATACAGTTGATGGAGAAGATTTTTATGAACGACAACAATGTTTGATGACACTTCTTGTATCTGGTTTCCTTTCATTACCATGGGATCTAAGAGGACTTCGTATACGTCTTTTATTGTATAAAAGTATTACTCAATCTCTATTAAATTGTTTCTCTGCTGAAGAAGCTCTTACAAAAGTAGAGCATCTTTTTAGTCTTTATACTAATGGACAACAAACTCCAGAAGAAGTGGTAACTGCTTATTGTGATGATTTTATACATGATCCATTTTTAAAACTTCTTGCTACTGAAGGAGATGTTACGGCATCAAAAGAAGCAATGGATAATGTTTTATTGTGTGATACTCCCTTATGGTTTCCTACACCGTGTGGAACACTTATTATATTATCTATTTTCCGTACATTATCACATCGTTTGTTGTGGCTTCGTACAGAATGGGAACAACAGATACGATTAGTTGGTGAAAGTGCTCAAGATTATATGGGACGCCAAGCCACATTTTGTACATCAAGAGATATTGCTATTTTTCGTATTCTTGTACAACTTGCACATCGAATGGTGTTTGGTTTCCAATTACAACCTGTTGGATTGCTACGCTTATGGATATCATACTTGGTTCATCTTTTTACCTACATTGTCCCACCCTTGACAGAGGATGATGAGATTGAATTAGTTATTTCAGGTTCAGAAACAGAGAAAAGTGGAAATGGAAAACAATTACGACAACGTAGGTTTCGACGTTCTCCGACAGAGTCATCTCAAGGAGATTTACGGGCTAGTCTTGGTGAACAACTTGCTGATCTTGCACTTATGCCACTTGTGGATAGTGCGATTGCGGTTCAATCTTTTTCAGCCGTACCCTATCGTCCTGGAAGTGCCAAATGGCTGCAGCAACAGAGTCAACATTCACAAGATATTCTTGTACTGCAGCGTGTGCTGCCTAATCTGGTGATGGAGGAGTTATGCTTTGCTCTAAAGATCTCACCTGAGAATATAAAAGGACAAGAATCATCTTCAAAGATTGGGCGCCATAATGGAAAGATGGTGGAACACTCATTTTTGGGGGTTATTGGTGTTGCTGCATTTTGTCAGCGTTTGGAACTCTTTATGGTTCCAGGAAGTATATCTGATAGACACACTGAACTTCTTTTGCAGACTCTCTGGTCTGCTGTTGAGTCAAGCAGTACAACCAGAATGACTTGATACAACTTCTTTCTTACACTAAGGGAGGATAATTCTCTATCTCATTATCTCTATCTTTTTCTTTTTCCCTTCTGTTCTTTTTTTTTTTTGGACAGAATGGCGCTGATAAACTTTGGTAATATGATGCAGAAGAAGTACGCCTAAACATTTTTATTTTAGGTATTACTTTAGAAGATAAACTCATGAGAAGGTACATAAGCAGGTGGAGATGTGTGTAATAGTCCGAATACCCTTGTAATTTTTTTTTTTTTTTTGGTTCTTGGTTCCTTTTTCTCTTTTTTTATTTTTTGGTGTGTGTTCTTTCTCTTGATTTTTTTTTCTTCTTTAATATATGATTCGTTCTCTTTTTTTTTTTTTCTTTGCTTTCTCTGTAAGGTGAAACAGTGTATGTGTTGGTTTGTTTCTTAGCTTCTGTGTTTATTTGTGTGTGTGTGTGTGTGTGTGTGTTTTCTTATTATTGATAATAATTGATGATAAGAACGGGAGTACGATTGCGATGTCTCTTTAATACTTCAGTCATCTGCAGGAGTTCTCATTTATCCACACACTTGCAGCAGATATGTTGTCTTCTTCCTTTAGGTATTGGGGCATCTTGTACGATGGCAGATGCTCAATGTTTGTTTCTTCACTGCTACCGTTTGCAGGAAGAAGGAAATATAAAACACGATATGAATAACGTAATAAAGGAATTTGAAAAGAATTTGATTGAACTGCAACGTTTAGGTTTATTCTTATTACCACAACAAGGTGGTGATGGATTAAATGAGAGAGAAGGATCAAAAGTGATGTATCGTGCATCTACGATTACTGTTGAATTAAATTCTATAGATATAGGGTCATCATCTGGTATGGAAAAAAAGAATAGTAATGAAGATAAGGATAAGGTATTATTTCAACTTTTACATGGTGTTATTATTCCATTGTTATACTCTCAACTCGTTAGTACTACTGCAGGAAACCCAAATCGTATTCGATCATCATCATCATCATCGTCAGACGAAGTTTCGGTAGAGGCCTGTCTTGTCATACTTGAGCAAATGAGAGGATCATCATCTATTCTTGCTGGAAATGGAAATGCCTGTCGGTTTATGGGAGATCTTGTAAATGAGGCTTTTCTTCTTGGTGTCCGTGAGCGAATTCTGCATCCGTGTGATAATGGTCTCTTTCGTCTACACCGTGATATTATAAAATACTCTTATCCACAACAAGAAAAAAATCAAAAACATTATGATTCTAATTTTCATTCCCCAACGTGTTTACTTTCCCTGCAGTGGTGGTGGTGGCGAAGTGTGGCCCCATTTGCATGGGAATCTCTGAAGCGGCGTGTGGGGCCTGACGGTTGTGTGAATGCCCCCGATGTGTGGATGGATCTTGTGCAGGCACGTGTACAGCACTTACTGCAGAAACAGGACCATTCACTTCCACCACTTCTCACAAAAACACAAAAAGAGACGGCGATGTCGTTTGTGGCGGCAGCAGCGCCTTGTTGGAGTTATGCGCCTCGCGTGGTGTTGCCAAAGTGGCGACTGCAATTGTCAAATGCGGCCCGTGTAGAACTCGCTATGCGAACATTAACATCTATCAAGTCATCTCTTGCAAGGCGGCCGGCTGGAGTGCCAATGAATGAACTTTCAGTACTGGTCTCGTGGCCTACAATTGCTACACTATTGCGAAAGAGAAGTTTTCTAAAAGTGCTTTCACGGTTTCCATCTTATTTTGTAGTCTCTACTGTACAAGATGTTATGATTGCACAACAACAGTTGGATTCACGTAAACAAGCAAATGTTACTATGGAAGAGGTGGCCGCATGGGTATTAGAAGGTGGAGGAGAAGCCGCATCTCCTGTCGCGACTAGTTTCCTACAAGATGTAGACACTATTATACGAGCCGTAACTTTTTTGAGAAAACGTCAATTGCGTCAAGTGCCAACTACATTTGCAGAATTACATGGAGTTCTTGTTCCTCCATCATCAGGAAATGATGGAGATGCGATGTTGGGTGTTTTACACCGGTATGATGTTGTAGATGGGGTTTCTGCAAGTCAAGACATTTCATGGCATAAATACTCCAAGAAGGTTGTGCAACTCTCATCACGTGAACTACAAGCATTGAAAATAATGGAATTGTTTCGAAAGAATATGTGTGGTACTGCTCAGTTATACAGAGAGGCTATTGAACCTTTTTTTCTTAAATGCTACAAGGAAGTAGAAGTAGTAGTAACAGAAAAGGAAGGAGGAATCACTATGCCTCTTTCATTTGTAGAACGTTGGTTACAAACATCTCGTTTATCATTAAAACAATCTGATGTTATTGATATTTTACGTGGATGTAAACCTCCTATTTTTCTTAATGAAGAAACAAGTTGTATTTGTTTAGGAAGTATTACTGAAAAAAAAGAAACACATAACACTCCTTTGGTATCAAGAGATATTCCTTTCTCCGCAAAACCATTATTATCATCATCATCATCATCATCATCATCATCATCATCATCATCATCATTGCCCACTCCATCCCCACCCCCACCCCCACTACCACCACCACCTGTAACTCAGCGAAAAGAGCAATTATTTACATTTGATGCCCAACTTTCGCGGGTTCTTAATGCATCACAACCGGATGCTTTACTTCATTTTGCAGAAACTACAATTCATGCAGTGTTTGTGATTCTTCTACCACATTTATCCGCTCCTTCAGGTGTACGATTGCAAACGCTACTTCGCCGGATTCGTTGGAATTCTGTTATTTCCACTCTTGGAACTATTTCATCCTTTTTACAGGCCTTTGATGGTCTCTTTTTTGATGTCTTTCATAACTTCAGTAGTGGTAGTAGTGATACGGAAGATATGCTTATATCAGCACATCGTGGACCTGTTGGAGCTTGGTTATTATATGCACGCCTTATTGCTCGTCTGTTTCCACCTGAAAAAGATATTCCACTGGGACTCATCGCTGAAGGACTTGCGTGGAATTTGCGATTTGCACCACGATTTGGTGATCTCCCATCACTTTTGCGGCGTGTTGGTCGTCATTGTCGTGATGGGTATTTACTAGGGAAAGGTAACACAACAACATCCATAGCCTCTATTGGTGATAATAATAATAATAATGATGATTATATGCTATGGGATCTATTAAATAAAATACGACAAGAAGGACAACAGCTGGAAGGAATAAAACCAATAGAAGACCAACAACGGTTTGCATTACTCAAACCAAAATTACTTCTTCAGTACTTGCAAAACACAAGATGGAGTGAAAAATATAATAATAATGATAATAATGAAACTAGTTTACAACTGGCAGAGAAAGCTGTAAGACGTTTTCCATTATTTTTTCAATTACAAAGGGAACCAACAAGCGGTGAGACTCTTTTACGTGTTGCATTTGAACACTCTCCTGTAACGGTTGGTCTTAAGGCATTTGTTGAAGAGTATGTTTGCCCTTTACTACGACAACATCGTGGTATTCGTATTACAGAATTGGATAATCGATTAGGATGGTCCCGGGGTTATTTTGATACTCATCCTGCCGGTGTGCAAGCTGTGAATGGTATTTCTAGTTGTGCGTCACTTTACGGTGTATTACGTCGATATGTGGAGGGGATACATCCACCACTACTTGTTCTCAAACAAGAAACAGAAGTAGAATCATTGCATGATACTGTATTAGTGCATCCTAACACAGAAATCTACCAAAGTCCAGAAGACATGCTATTAGAAGTAAATGGTTTAGAAGCAATAGTAACTAATAGTGAAAATGGTAATGGTAATGGTGGTGTATTACTACGTCCTTTAGGGAGACCTATATCGCTATTTGAACTCCTCTCGGAGGAGAAGGAGTTGCAAGAGTCTGATGATGTGTTAAATGTCTCTCGTACAGAAGAGTGGCGTATATTGCTGCAATGTGAAGGTGATGCTGCTGTACAGTGGGAAACGGAATTAACGCAGAATAGTGGTGATATTCTTGTCTGGTGTGGACCAGAATAAGAAATAATGGTTATGAATGCGAAACGTGTGTGAGGACATATGGGTTCTGTTTTACATTCTTTTTTTTTTTTTTTTCTTTCTATCATCATCGTTGTAGACAGACAGAGAGAGTCCGTGTGTCTGAGAGAGAGGGAAGGAAGAAAAAAAAAAAAAGGGAGGATGCGTAAATACATGTTTATTTTATAAACATATACAAATTGAGTCTCTACAAATGGTGATAACAGTGTTAGGTGTTAATCACCCACCTACACCGTTGCATTTTGGTATTGTTGTTATTATCAAATAATAGAATTGTTCATGCACACGTACAATGTCAGTACGATTTGATGATCCCCCACCCTCTCTCTTTCTCTCTCTGTGAACCTTCTTTTCTTCTTTCTTTCTTTCTTTCTTTCTTTTTTTTTTTTTCATCTACACCTGTACATGTGTATACAGTTTCTGTGTGGTTGTTTGGCCTGCTGCCGCTGTGCGGATGGATGAGAACTATTCCGTTGTGGGTCCCCTCGTCGGCCCGCCACGCGACTGCGGCCGCCACGTTCTTCTCGCCCGCGCCACCGACGGCCTCCACTGCGCCGCCAAAACAATTCCGTGCGGCCGCGACACCCCCCAGCGGCTGGCGGCCCGCCGTGTTGTGGAGATCATGCGGCGCGTGAAGAACATCGCCGGCCTCGTGGACGCCGTCGAGACGGAGACGGGCGTGACGCTCATGACGGAGTTCGCCGCGTTGGGGTCACTGCGGGAGGAAATACGACGGCGGCGGGGACTCCTGCGCCAGCAGAGAAGAGAAGAACAAGTAAACGAACAACATGCACAACAAAAACGACTTTCGAGGCTGCGTGCGGTGTATGAGAGAGGTGTGGAGGCAGATGCAAGTATGAGCATGGAAACGGCTTTTTTTGCAGAGGATGAAATTGTACGGCTGATTATGCAATTATTAAATATTTTACAACAACTTTACGCTCAGGGAATTGTGCATGACCGCATTACAAGTGATCATATTTTATTATATGATGATAATTTCAGTAAAGTACGACTCTGTGGATTTGGAAATGCTTTTTTATCTTGTGATGAAAAGGAAAGTGAAGGAAAGCAGCCACAACAACAATCAGTTTCTAAAGGAATGCATTCTTCAGAAAATTCATCTCTTTCTACTTCTCGTGGTTATCGCTTCTTCTCTGACTCTATTCCTCGTGAATCGAAACATGATATTTGGCTTATTGGTGCTATTGTATATGAAATGTGTACCCTTGGTACACGTATTAACCTCCAAACAAACATTGTCACTGAACCATTTATTGCAGAACGTTATTCTCCTGGTTTCCATAACATGCTGTTGTCAATGTTGACAAAAGATCCATCATCCAGACCAACATGTGCACAACTAGAATATATGCTAAGCCGTCATCGCCCAAGTGGATTCGGTGACAGTAGATGTTCCGTATCCATTCCTCTTTCACAATCATTTTCCATACGACGTGATAGTGGACGCCTCTTTACAGGGACTCAACCAAGTAGTGAATATACTCAATATGATGTATCTGTTCATTCTATGCGGACAGATCCACGTGATAAATGCGATACATTAAATACTGTATTTCATGTCTTGGGTGGTTCCCTGGTCCCATCGAGGTACCGATGTAATAGCGCAGATGTTACGGAAAAACAGCAGAGAATACCTTTATCATATTCAGAAGTAGAAAACTGTAAAAACAATGCAATTGGTGTTGAACCTCTTAATATGCTTTGTGTGGAAAGCGATATTGAAAGCGTGAAAATAAGTGATTGTGGTGCTACTAAAAACAGTTCCAGTAATAATGAGACATCAGTAAAAACAGATTTAATGGGAAAATCTTCTCTTATATCAAGTAATAAAGTTTCTTGCAGTAAAAGTAGCAGCACTATCGGTGTTGTGGAGGGAGTTCCGTTTTCACATCAACGACAAATATCTCAAATCAAAACTAAAAATAGTCAAAACAGTGATGAAACAAATTGCTGTTTTGATAATTATTCTGAGAATGACATACAGTTACTGAGGATGCTTGAGAAGAAGTTGGATGCTCAAAAGAGAAAAATGTCAAATACTTCTCCAACTTCCAATAATAAACTAACATCAGTCGATGAAATTCCTACGTTAGGAGAAGAGAGAGTGGATTACGTTACCATAGGAAATAATTTTGGAGCTGGAGAGCAGAACAGCACTACCAATACAACGACAACAACCACAGTGGTAAAAAAAGAAACATCAATCGGAAACTCTCTATCACCTCAACCTTCTTGTGTTAATAATATTGACAAAATGGTTAGTCCACCCACACTCTTTTCGGCATCAGAAAAAGAAATATGTGAGTCTATGCAACCGCATTGTAAAGGGTCGTTGAATTTCTCTATTGAAGAGCATAAATCTGAAAAAGTGGAAGGAGTTAATAATTTACGTAGGGGTTCTAAAAAAACATCTCTTGTTTCATCAATCACAGAAATCCAAGAAACACGCCCGATGACACCATTAGATGATTTGAGAAGCGTTAGTGATGCTTTATATGAAGAAACTGTAACTACAACAGTGAGACGAAGAAATTTATTTGATAATACTTTGTGTCTCTCCGCATACTCAGCAACTGTGGATGTTGTCTCACCAATAACAAATACGGAGTTTTGTGATGGTGCCACGGAGTATAGTGCTTGCAGTAGCTTTGTGGTGGTACATGAGGCACCGAACACGAGAGGAAATTTGGTCCATCGCAGTCATTTAAGACCTCATCGCGTAGTGGATCACAATCACTGTAGTTCGTGTTTTGTGCAGTAATATCTCAACTGTGAATGTAAAGGTGAAGAGAGAGAGAGAGAGAGAGAGAGAGAGTGTGTGTGTGTGGAATGAGAGTAAAGGAGGGGGTGCCCTTGTATATGTTTGGTGTGAGATAATACATGAATATGTGGAAATTAAGAGAAAAGATGTTTGAACGGTTTAACTTTTTGTTTGCTTTTTCTTTTATTATTATTATTATTATTATTATTATTATTATTATTATTATTTCTGCTGGGTAGTGGTGTGTTTTTGTTGTTGTTGTTTTTGTTGTTGTTGTTGTTGATCGTGTTGTTCTCTTTTGCTGGACAGGAAAAAACAAAAAAAGAAAAAAAAAGATATTAAAGGGATGAGAGGGAAAGATAATATTATGCTTTGTTTTTCATGATGATGGAATTTCTCTTTTTATTAGATTCCTTTTTTTTTTTTTTTTGCGGAAGGTGTGCGGAGAGGGATTTCACCAATATTGCTTGTTTTCTTGTTATTGTCTTTTAAATGACTTTTTTTTTTGCTTGCTTGATATGATATGAAGTTATTTACTTCTTCGTAGTTAAAAAAAAAAAAGTAACTGTTGTTACATTAAGAGAATAATTTCCCTTTTTTAAAAAATTATTTTCCTTTGCTTTAATCGTTTGTTATTCGACTAAGGGAGGAGAAAAGAAAAAGGTGAAACATGATAAATCTGATTATTGGGCTATTTACAATTGATCTATGTTAATAATTTTATGTTTATTGAATACCAGACCTAACGCTTATGAATAGTTCTATGCTATTTTTCTTTTTTTTTTGTTGTTGTTGTTTTCTTTTCTGTGTATTGGAAGTAGTCGTTCTTTATTTATATCTTCCTCTATTTTTCTTGTAATGGTCAAATAATCCTCTTCTTTTCAGTTATATTGTTGTTCATTGGGTTTTTTTTTTTGTTTTTGCTTTTTTTCCCCCCATCTTTGGTATGGAAGCGTATTGTTGATCTGAAGTTCTTTTCATTTCTTTTCAGTAGTTTTATAAACCCGTACACTGCTTCTTGATGATTTTTTTCACATTCTTCTGTTTTTTGTTTGCTTCTTTTATTATTATGATTATTATTGTGGGCTTTTTTATTTGCTCTTCTTGTTATGTTCGCATTTATTAGTTCTTTATTATCACCTTCACTTCCTTTTTCACTTTACCTTTCCTTTTTTATAACTGTTCTATATTTTCTGTTTTTTGTTACTATTATCTTCTTTTCATTTCTCTCCCCCTTTCTCTCTCTCTCTCTCTATATATATATATATATATATATATACACCTAAGGGTAGGTTGAGGGGGGTGAAGGTGTGTGTGTGTGTGCCATCATGTCCCGTGGCGCTGGCACGACACCCTCGCGTTTACCCCAAAGCCCCGCAGTGGCGGATAACGACAACGACAACGAAAAGGAGAAAGAAAAGGAAAAGGACATTCATGTGAATAGCGATAAGGACACGCCCCTTGTGCATGGACATATGCTGTACAACACCACTGTGCGCTCATTTACAGACCCGCGACCGGTGATGCTGCGCGTTCCGCTGCGCACGCCGCGTCGCGATGGGGTGGACACTCACACCTCTCCAAATGGCGATAAGGGTGGAAGCAACCGAAACTACAATAGCAACAACGATAATAATAGTAATAATAACAACAACATCAATAGCACAGAGAGAATGGGTGGGAATAACACGAATCTTACCCTCTTGAAATCACCCGCTCCTGCGCCACCTGCTTTTCTTCTGACAGATGAGAAAAACCATGAGGCACGTCAGGTGTTGAATTCACCAGCACGATTTACATTAAGTCCAGCAGTAGAAACAGCTACAAGAGCTGCAACAACAACAACAACAACAACAGCTCTTCGGCGTAGCAGTAGTACTATTTTGGTTTCCCCACGACCTTCACCGCCAAGAAGAACTGATAGAGAATCAGCACAACGTGAAGTGAAATCCTCTAGTAGACGACATGTGAGAATGAGGCTATCACAGAGAAGTAGTAGTGACAGTAGTAGTAGTAGTAGTGATAATAATGATAATAATACTCGTGGGAGAAGGAATCGCACTAGTGGACTTGTCCATTCTGAACGTAGACCAATAGGTGAGCTCCTCATTGCTGTTCCCCCACGACGTCGAATAACAAGTCCTCTACAGCATCTTCTAGTGTACAATAATAATGATAATAATAATAATGACGCACATATGCAATATCGTGTTTCAACCCCACAACGGGGAAATACGACTTCTCGTGATGCTGTGCGTTTTTCGCAACTACCGCGCCCACCATTCTCTAGTGGAGGGCAGCACATGTTGCCATCATCATCTACATTGGAAACACCTCCATTAACTAGTGATGCTGAAAGATTATCACCCACCTCACTCCACTACTCACTACCGCGGGATACTCGAAGCAAATCCTTATCCTTATCATCATCATCATCATTGTCGTCATCAGTCACTACATCCGCTGCGCGAAGACAACGGAATAGAGGAATGCAAAATATGGGTAGAAATTCAAAATCATCAAAGCATAGTGTGATCTACCCACTACTTCGTGAAAATGAGGGATGGACCACTTCAGATGAAGAGAGCAGTAATAGTAGCATGAATAAAAAGAAAAAAAGGAGAAAGCAAATAATTACCAGTGGAAGCCCTTCTCTGGAAATGGAAGAACGTAAAAGATCTGCAAACTCTGATAAATCACTGCGAAACAGTTCGAGAAATGTGACAAGTGAACCTCAGTGTTTGCCCACATCTCGAACTTCTCTCACTCAAACTACACAATCTGGAAGTAATAGTAGCAACAAATCGCGCCGTGCACGATCAGCAGTACCTGCGAAGTCTGAACTCATGAAAGCATTTCATGAACTTCAGTTAGAAAAGGAGGCTGTAGTGTTAATGGAATATGAAGAGAAGGGACGTCGAACCATTCGTGATGCTTATATTAAAGGAATGCGCCGAATGTTGCTTGAACACACATTTCAGCGATCTATGCTCTTAGCATCTGGAGAGAGGAATCAACCCCAAACCTCTTCTTCTTGTTATTCTTCCTACAGTTATTCCTCTCCACAGCGTCGTAGTAATATGCAAACTAGACCAGTAGTACAGGGAGAATGGAATGATGGGAAACATTCAAGAAAAGATAATATCATCAAATCCGGAAGACACTCAAGTACACGAACTTCTCCAAATGAAAAAGTACTTGGGTCTACTACCACTAATCGATCGTCACGTTCGTCTGTAGAGGTGATTTCCGGAAAAAATAAAAAGAAGTTTTTGATAGCATCATCAACTCCCACTAAAAGAGAAGAAGAAAAGCCACAAGAAGAAGGAAAAACAAAGTTATTAAGTAAACAACAACAACAACAACAACAACAACAACAACGAGAAGAAAAACATGAACATGAACATGAACAACAATGTAGTGTTGGAAGTAGTAGTAGTTTGAGAAAAGTAACAAAATATACTTCTCCTATTCGAGATGATGTTAATGAAAGTATGGATGATATACAACGTACTATGCGGGTATTTGAGATTGAACTTCTCCGTATGTTGTCAGAAGAAATTAATGAAAGAAAATTTCTTATAGAAAATGAGAGTGCTAAATTTTATCTCCTCTTGCGTTATCACCGTATAATGGAAGCAGCTATGCAGCCAACACCTATTTATTTACATGAGGCATGTGAGTGGCAGAGTATCTTAACTGAAGCTACGAATGAACTCCATCGTTTACAAAGCGGAAGAATTGAACTTGAAATTCAACAAAGACTTCAAATTGCTCGTGATTGTGCCCATCGTATTGCTGCATTAATAAATAACGAAACACAAATACGAGAAAAGGAATTACGACAGGCAGAATTACAAGAACGTCGAGATTTGGCACGACTCTTTCATTTAGGTCTTGCCGCCTTATTAGAAGTACAGGCCTGTTACACTAGACAACATGAGAGACAGAAAGCAAGTCGCATTAATATTATTCTACAAGAAGAAGTTCGAGAACGTGAAATGATACATATTAACGAACTTCGTTCTCGTAGTAAATTATACCGAAGAATTGAAGCCGAATATCATGAAGATATTCATACTAATAGAAATGTAGAAACGACTACGGTATCGCATCAGGAAAAAGATGTAACTGTTGGTGAAATACCTATTGAACTGAGTGACATTACATCTATTAAAGGTGATCGATCATATATGACAGCAGAAATAGAAGTACAACAGATCCCATCTCAATCAGAGATAAAAAATGTAAATACGACTACGTTTTCTACCGTACATTCAGGAAATACTAGTGCAGTACATCCTGTTCTCATTGAAAAAAGTGCTGGTAATGATGATGGTTACAGTTTATCGTATCCAGGAAATGAACAAAACGTAGAACGTTTCTTCTTTGAATGGAACCCAACATCCAATACAATTCCTTCTAATACACATAATAGCAATACAACAATAACAACTACAGGTACAGGTACAGGAACAGCTGCAGTTGGGGGAACTCATTCATTAGTATTGAATTCATCCTCTGGAGAACAAGTTCGACCTTGGACAATATCTTCTCCACCTCCGCGTAGTATTCCACATACTAATACAACTACAGATAGTACTTCAAAGTACAATAAAGGTAATACTGATACTACAGGTACCACTGCAACTACTACGTTAGTGACAAACACTTTACCATATAAACCTAAGAAAGGTAAAATAAAGCAGTATATGCATCATCATATGGATAGTCCTTCCTCTAGAATGCCACACTCTACGCCAGAGGTATCGAAAGATTCATATAATATTGCAGAACCGTCTATATTGTCAGTGGAAGACTCATTTCTCAGAAATACCACACATCGTGATATTGGTATTACGGCAAATCTTTCATCTCAGCCTACGTCCCAGTTGAGGTCTATTTGTGAGTCAAGGCCACCCAACTGTCATTTAGTGCCATGTTCACTGAAGAAAAAGGAGAAAACGCAATTGTCAACACATAGTCACAGTCGATGTTCCGCCACACCGTTACCCGTTACTAAACTGCGTGGAGAAAAGTCAACACTGCGAGTGTCGTGCGGTACACAACTAACACCGCCAACCAGACGTCCTTATCAAGATGATGTTATATTTGATGGGACACCACAAAAATGTCAGAAACATTTTGAGGAAAATGAATTACTGTCGTTATCACCATCCTCCACAACAACATCATCATATGTAGAAACAGGGGTAGATGTAGAAGCAAATAAAAAGGTAATAAGTGAACCTTCTGAGGAATCTGTAAGTTCCTCATGTTCATCATTCTCATCTTTATCACAGAGTAATAGTCAACAATACCGTCAAAACCCTCATGGTTTTAAAGGGAAAAAAGAAGAGAAAGAGGAAGAGAATGTAGAACTTTTTGATAGCGTAGAAGAGTTAGAGGAACCTTGCAACTGGAGTCAAACTTCGATTGATTTTGATGAGAATTACATGGACGAGAAACAAAGAGGAAATAAGCTTGGGGAAGAAGTAATAATAAGGGACTCTGACTCTAAGGGTTCCCCAGTAGCGGATATTTTTGCTACTACCTGTGGTAGAGAAGCTAAAGAAAATAGAATGAGATCAGAAAGAACAGTTTCTCGAACCTCTGATATAGCAAGACGTGCGAGTGAGACTATGCCTGAAGTTTCACTTTCTACAATGCACGAAGCCACCGCAGCAGGTAGTGTTGATTATCATGATAATGAAAGAAATGGAAGTGGACAAAGATCTGCTGCTGTTGTTCTTCCTCCTCCCCCTCCTCCTCCTCCTCCTCCTGTTATTACTACTACTACTACAAGTACTAACAATAATGATAATAATGATACTTCACAGAGTGATGTTTCTTCTTGTTCTTCGCTTGATAATAACGTAACGGCCAATATAGGGCTTAATGTAAAAATGGATGATAACCGAGAAACCTATGTAGATGATTATAATAAGGAAAATCTTTCTGGTTATTTCGGTAGACTACCTTCTTCTGAAGAGGTTATGGCTCCTCTTGAAAAATGTCAGTGTGAATGTGTTTCTAATTACCCTCCATTTAATTATATGCGCCCAACCATGTCATGGCGACGTCAGCATGAAGAACTTGAATGGCGGGCTTTACAACGTTCTTCTAGGAGTCGAAATAGTAACAATGTCAAGTGGACATCCGTTAATATTCTTCAATCCCCTAGTCGACGACGATCTCAGAGTAACCCATCACAACACTTGAAACGAATTCCATTTGAAGAAGGACCTGGAGTATGGGGAGATTTGGAGTTACAACGTAGACCCTTCGCTTATGATCCACTTGGTGAAAAGGCATACAAAGCAAGTGAACGTCTACAACCAGAATCATCTATTACTACTACTATTTGTTCACCACGTCATCGACAAGATGCGGCTCGACGATTCATGAGTGAAGGATCTAGTGTCCGTGGTAATTCAAGACGTTCTCTTTCAAGACACAGTAGTCCAATTCCAAGTGAATCACCAGTTGAAGATCCAGTGGTTTTAGCATCTCTTCAGGGAATTATAGAAGAACGGGAGGTTTCACCCAAGCGTGTTGCTTCCACTCCAATGTCAAGAAATACAGGAGCAGTAGCAAGAGATGGTTCTCCTAATCTAAGATCTAATGAAAAATTATTTGGTATTAGAAAACGATCTAAAACTCCTTCATATGTTGATGCCTTTTTTAAACAAGACCGCGAAGTTGTTGGTCGTCGCTGTTTTCTAGCTGCATTACAACATGGACCAGTACTACGAGACTCTGTACGAAATGAAACTCCAGTACGTACTGGTATGTCAGCAGCGAAAACTACACCCCATCGTCGGCATTGTCTACATCATCAGCGATGTAGTGAAAATACTCACGGTAATACACCTGATATTGTGTTGTCACCTGGTACATTACGTGGAAGCTTTTCTCGTTCTTCTTGGAGTCCACAACCAAAACCGTGGCGCTGATAATCAAAATATATTTATAGATTATGACAGATAGACGCATATTTTGACACATGCATTTCTTCACAGACGTACAAAAGAAAAAAAAAAACAAAAAACAACCACCACATGTACGCGATCACCCAAATTATATATATTGAGAGAAAGAGAAAGAGAGAAAACATGGATATACATTGACATATTTATACAGATATGATATATTAGTTCTTCTTTACCACCTCTCCTATTTTCTCTCCTACTGTTTATCATTACTACTCGTGTGGAATTGTTTATTGATCAGTTATGCATAATGTCGTGTGCCTATTTATTTTCCGTCGTTTCTTCATATTTTTTTTTTGTTTTTGATTTCCAATGTTTGTGTGTAAACATAAGGTATAACCAAAAGATACTTGTGGAATGTTATTTACTCTTATGTGATTCTTGTTTTGACTTTTATTTTTATTTTTTTTTTATTTTCTTTACACAGGAAAGGAAAGGATTAGAGGAAGGATATCACCTCACACATACAGGAGGAGAGAGTATAAAGAGAGAGAGAGAGTGTCACCCACGTATAAAGTCTTGGAAAGAAAGAAAAAAGAAAAGAAAAAAATAAATAAACAGTAACAGTAATAATAACAACAACAACGAATAAAAGGTTATTGTAAATTAAACATGTCATCCGAGCAGCATACATGCGATGGTTGTAGTAATCCCGCTTCATCGTTTCAGTGTCCTCTCTGTCAGGCAGAAGCTATCACTTCACGTGGGTTCTTCTGCAGTCAAGAGTGTTTCGCGAAGAACTGGTTAAATCACCGTGGCACCTTTCACAAGAGTGGTGTAGTGCGGGTAAAGGAGCAAGCACAATCTACAGCTATAGAAGAGTCTACCAATGGTCGTAAACGCGCAGCAGGAGAAACAAAATCTACAGATGCTGATAAAAAGAAAAAACGTAAACTGAAGAAGAAAGATGAAGAAAATAGTGAACCAAAAGAGGATGTAAATGATAAGGTAAAAATGTCTGTTGTGGTACCATGGTCTGTACTTCCACGAGTTTCTGATAAAATAGCAACAGTGGAACCATCTCTGCCAATTGGTATTGCTCGTGCTGTAATTGGGGGATCATCATTAGATCATCGTATTTCTTTCTGGTCCGCTGTTGTAGCTGCTGCACATCATATAGCTACAGAACTTGAATATCAGAAAAATCATAATAAATCTTCATTTCAGGTGTTAGTTATAACAAGTGGACCACTGGAAGCTTCTGCAATGGCATGGGCACTGCGTTGTACAGGTCTAGCAGGATTGATGCGACTTGTTCTAAGTGAAGAAAAAGAAGATTTGTCGATAAACCCAAGATCACATTTTTCTGGAAATGGACGAATTGTTATTACGACAGAATCTATTGTAAGATGTGTCTCTAATGGATCAGCATCCGCTTGGCTTCAAGAAGAAAGTTTATTGGTAACTTTACCAGGAGTTACAGAAGCTGCAGACTTTCAGTCTGTTCAAACTCGTGCTCTCTTTTTTGTTTATAGGGGTAAGTCTATCAATACAACAGATGATACTTGGTGTGAAGAAGAAGAAATTTCTCATCATGTTATCCCATTAAAAGAGACTCCTGCTGAATTGCATAATTTATTTAATTCAGTCATTCTTCCTCCTGTGGATAATGTTGATACTAATGCTGATGCCACTCTTGCTCATTCTTCTTCCTTACCCACTGAGAATATTGGAGAGGTAAATACTTTAAAAACTCTTCGATTTGATAATGAGGTCTCTACATTCCTTGCCCGTGGAGATTTTCCCAATGCACTTCAACATCTTGTTCGACTCTACAGTTCACGACGAGGTGTTTTTGAGGAAATTCTCTTTAACAGTTTTCTCTTAACTCTTGGAGCTGCGAGTGTGGCACATGCTCATCATATGTTGGCCTATATATTGAGATGTCTTGTAGATCATTCCTCTCGTTTTAAAGGTCCACAAGGTGGTACATTAAAAGAAATGGCATTACGGGCTATTTCAAGAGTTGTTCGTATGCTTCCGCCTATTACAACTTCAGATGAAGATGATCAACAACAACAACAACAACAACAGAAAGAAAAGCATCAAAAAGAAATTAAAGATAAAACAGGAAAAATAGTTACATCTAGTGGTACTCAGGGTAACTCTACTATATCTTCTTTACCCTCTGCAATGGAGAAAAATCGTCTCTTTAACTATTATGAAAAATTACCTAACATTCAACTTCAGGCTACTATGTGCTATTTATATCCCTATGCATCTCCTGCTATTATGGATCTATTAGGAGCAGCATGGGGTGTTAAAAAAATTCTTTCTGGTCCTGAAGCCCTAAAGAGTGCAGATCAAAAACGTAATGATATTGTACTACGTTTGCGTAATCGATATGGAACGAAACTTGATCCTGCTTTTGCCAATTATTTGGTTGTATTAATGCATTTCTTGTATGATATGGTTGCCAGTTACTCTCTTAGTGTAGAGGAAGTAGACCATCGTACCTTGTGGTCTATAACGCTAGCAGGAGAAGTTGGTCCTTTAGAGACATTTCTTTCAAATTGTTTTCTACTTCAGAAGGATGAAACGACAACATCATCGACATCAGAGGAAGAGGGAAACAAGAAAAAACAAATAAAAACACTTTCTGGTCGTCAGATACCACAAAAACCTGTAAGTCGTACAGTACTTCTTCGTGGTCAAGCCGTTCGTACGGCGGTTGTGGAGGAACCCGTTCAACTCTCATGGGTAGATTTACCTCTCACAGGTAAACGACAACGTGAAGTGGAACGATTGCAGCGTCAAGCTGTAGATGAAATCCTTATGGCCATGCCACGAGTACCACGACCAATGTACATTGGTGATGTTGGTAATCTTATCGGTAAATGGTTCCGCTTTAATGCTCGATTTGATGGTACTCTTGGTGTGAGTCTTATGGAGTTTCTCATGCAACACCCAGAGGCTTTCCGTGTGGTTGGGAATCTCGTCACACGTCGTACCGCAGGAGTGGCCGATCAAGTCAAGATGCGCTTTGATGATGATAGTGATCACGACAACGACGGTGATGACTCGGATGATGATCGCAAGGCAAAGGATCGCGCACTCCTCACAGGGGCCAAACGCAAGAGTGGTGGAAAGCCCGGAAAAGATTTACCTTCACGAGCACGAAAGAAGGCATTGGTGAAGGCATTTAATAAATCACGCTTTGATCGTAACTATAAGCCGATTGATGCTTCGGCAAAGGTACCAGGATACATCAAGCGTGGTCCACGTAAGATCAAGGGAAGAGGTCGCAAGGCTAATTTGAGAAATACCAAGCGTAGTTAAAAATATATATATATATATATATATATATATATATATATATAAAGGAGAGTGAATGTTTGTGTGTGTATGTGTGCATCACCAATAAGTGTGATGCCTAAGAATAAGAAGAATACAACGAAAGAAAGTGGTACATGCTTTTTTTTTTATGGATTTTTAGTGAAGTTGATAGATGCATTTCTTGAGAAAAGTGGCGACTTTTTTTTAGTGGTTGGTTGGATGGTTGATGAAATAGCTAATACTTATGCTATTTATAACGCGTTTAAAAAAAAAAAAAAAGTAAAGAAGAGAAGGATAATACACATACACATACACACATAAAAAAAAAAGGCATTAAAAAAAGTAAACTAACTCTACTCACCTAAGAGGTTTTCTTTAATATTTCTCTCTATTTTAAAGAAAACATATATGGAGAGAAAGAAACAGTTAATGGTAGTTTTCTTTTCCCTTTTTTTTTCTATTTTCTTTCTCGTACCCCTTCACCATGTGCTTTTCCGTATCATGAATCTTTTTATTTTTGTTTTGTTTTTCCTTTTTTTTTGCTCATTTTCTTTCTTCTTCTTTTTTTTATTTTTTTTTTTCTATTTCCATTATGACAATTATTTTACATAACAACAGTCAATAAGAAGCCGGTAGGAGTTGTTTCTTGTAATTGACATTCCTTCTTGTGTAAATTATTCCTCAATTATAATGACATCATCAATGCATATATCTTCTACTGCGGCTTCCTCCGTGGGTAATGCGATGTTGGAAGTGGAACGAAGTTTTCTTCGGCATGTGATTCCACTGCGCGTACAAGGTGCGGGTTCCATGGCAACACTTTACCGCCATGCATTTATTCATCAAGAACATCTTATTCATCGTTTATTAAGAGCACTTGAAACTGTTCCATTACCCGCACTTCCACGTATGCTTCTCGCAGAGGGCTTTCAACGTATGTTGGAAGGACAAACCCCACAACGTGATATTCGAGCTCTCTTTGAAGAGGCAGAAAATGAGGCACGTCGTGTACTGATTCAGGCTGAATTTCATTCAGATAATTGTCAACATCAAGAGGAAGGTTATCTCTACACAGCTATTAAAAGAGACCCATTGATGCGATTACTTGCATATGAATTACGAGCCGCATGTGGATATTATGCTCAACTAATGGCTATTTCAAGCCAACCAGAAGAAGGAGCCGCCGCACTTCTTCGAACACTTATCGCTTCTGATGTCCGTACGGATCCGTTATTAGTGGATGTGATGTTAAGATTTGAGGCATTACATCGAAATGAGGAAACAGGTGAGCGACTGGAGTCGTGTGATTCACCTGTTGAAGAATTTGTAAAGGAGTGTTTACTTTTAGAACGTGATGCTTTTGGGGTTTTTCGCTTTGATGCCCGTGGTGATAATCGACATCTTGTACATTGTATAAAACTAGGTGATATTGGCAAAACTCCCAGATCCTTTGCGGTAACGATTGATCCTATTTTACAGCAGCATGGAAACTTTATTCTTGAACGCACGCCTGTACATCAGGGACGTTGGGTGGAACATCGTTTGTCGTGTGCCCCCGAGTCCCATCGTGTGGATAGTCGATTACCGTCATTAGAAACCCTTAGTGTGACTCTCAACTCCACGGAGACTACTACTACTACTACTAGTTCTACTCATAATAGTAATAATAATAATAATAATAGTACTATTAGTGGGGAGGAACCGCTTTCGCTTCTTGTGCGGTATGATGAGCCATTGTGTCGCCGCCACAAAGAAACAACACGCGAAAAGGATGCGGCGATTCATCACATTGAAGTGTTTGAACTCGCTGCTCGGGATACAAGTCGTGGTTTTTGGGAAAAGTGGTTTCTTGATCGCTAAAAGTGGTTTTCACCGGGTGAGGGGGAGGGAGACACATTGTAGAGATCAGTAACGGGGTATTCTTTTTCTTGTGTCTTATTGAGTGCCCCTTTTTTTTCTTTATTGCTGCTTGGTTTCCGGTGTGTTTTTTTTTTTTTTTTTATTATTATTATTTGTTTAGTCTTTATTTATTTATTTTTTTTTTTTCCTTCTAAATATGTATACATATATATTTGGAGAGGTCGTTTTCTTCATTTTTTCATGCTCAACCTCATGAAACGTAAGCTGGACGGTTAGACACAAGTACGAAAGGAGAAGAAAAATAAGAAACTCCTGTGGAGAAACTGGAGTGAAGTATAATTGTCGTGCGTGTGAAAGTGAAAATAAATTTGAGAAATGTTTAGTAAAAAGTATATATCAAATGGAAAAAAGAGAGTTATCTCGAAACCAAAGAAAAAAATAATAATACGGAAATAAACACTGCAAATATACAATTACAATAAAGAGAAAAAATATATATATACTGTTTTTTTTCTTGTTTCTTTTTTATTTTCATTTCACAAATCGTTAAAGGGTAAAACAAAAATAATAATAATAATAATAATAATAAAACAGAAGAAGAAGGGGGAGAAAAAATATTAGAAGAGAAGAGAAATGTCTTCCTATAATGCAGATGTGCCCTTTGGTGGTTCTTATCTTCCCGAAAATGCTCGGGAACGATTAAGTGCGTATGTCTATCGTGGTACTGATAAGAGTCTGTTGTACAGGTATGTGTTTCGTCCTTTGTGTGTGCGTCTAGTAACCTATTTGCCAGTATGGCTATCAGCAAATGTTATTAGTGTTGCAGCTCTTGCCCTTGTAACTTGTGCACACATATTGATTGCTGTTTATATGCCTGATTTGACAGTAAAGCAAACTGTTAGTGTTACGGATTCTGTTTCTAATGGAGAAAATATGAGTACACAGGTGTTTACAGAAGAATTTCAACCACCTCCAATGTTTGTATTTATGTTTGCAGCTTTCGCTCTTTTTTTATATCCTATTCTTGACAACCTTGATGGACATCAAGCCCGTCGTACTTTTACTGCCTCACCATTAGGATTAATTGTAGATCATGGTTGTGATGCATTTAATTGCATAATCGCATCACTTTCTATAGCAGCAACTACAATGATGGGACCTACATGGAAGACATTTGCCCTTCTTTTATCTATTGTGATACCTTTTTTTATGAACACTTGGGAAGAATATTATCTTGGTGAACTTGTAATACCTGTAATAAATGGTGCAAATGAAGGAGTTATGATTGGTGTGGGTATTTATATAGTTACGGTATTGATGGGAGGTCCACAGTGGTGGTATATTAATGGTGTAACCCTACCACAGTTATGGGTACCAGAGGTATTAAAACAATCTCCCCCACTTGCTGCAGTAGCTATTGAAAAAAAAGTACTTCATACCGTTTGTCCATGGATTTCTGGTACTTTCTTTCGTACGTATTCCTCTTTTGTTTCTGCTTCAGTTCCTTCAGATACTACTACGACTACTGCTAGTACTAGTACTAGTACTAAATCTGCCTTTTCGGCATTATTTGGACTCACCTGTGATGAGGCATATATTTCCAATATACCAACTCCTTATATCGCACCGGATAGTTTAAAAGGTGATGATTACGTTGGACACAGTATACTACAAAATTTTGTTCTTAGTCTTTATGATAAAATGGATTTTCATAGTATACGACTTCGGTATAATACCATTGGAGTTTTTCTCTTTTTATCAATGTCATTTATTACTTGTGTAGCTAACTTTATACGAGTGTATAAAGCTGTACATAAACCTAGTGCTCATGGCAAGATAGAATCAGGATGGATGTCTCGAAAAATGCCTTTTATTCACGCACTTACACGTTTATTACCTCTTATTACATTAACACTTTTTGCAACCTTATGGTTTCTTTCTTCCCCTAATAATATATTTCAAAAACATCCACGTATGTTCTCTTGGACTATTGGATTACTCTACACAAAATCTGATATTCATTTAATGATAGCACATGTTTGTGGTATTGAATTCCATCCACTTCGTCGAACATTATGGCCTTTTTTATTTTTGGGTGCTCACATGACTCTAACATTTTACCGAAATATGGTTAATTGGATGAGAAATTATAAACTTCAAAGTACATCTTTCTGGTTTTTATCCGCTAACAGTGTATGGGATGATTTACCTAATGAAGAATACGTAATTTGGGGACTTTTTCTCTTGAGTTTAGTTAGTTTCGTTCACTTAGTTTATGGCGTTGTACGCGAAACAGCTGATGCGCTGGGGGTTCCAGTTTTCAAAGTGCCTAAATTGAAACAAGAAATGCTATTGAAACAAATAGCAGAGGAACGTAAAAAGGGGAAAAAAGAATAAAAATGTAAAAATATTTAGAAAAAAAGAAAAGGAAAATACCATACAAAGAAGGTATTTTTATTTATGATTCTATTATGTATCACGTCTATGATATTAGAAACAACTAAGGTATGTTTAAAATACAAAAAAAAGAAAAAAATGAAGGAATAAATAAAAGAAAAAAAAAAAAGTAGTTTCTCTGCCTGTATCTCTGTGGTTATTTCTGGTGTTGTGTAGTGTTGGTATAGAAGGTTAGGGAAGAAGAATCAAGAAAAATATATATATATATATATATTAAAGCATGCCACGAGGTATAAATGGTTTTATTTGTAATAAAACTATATATATATATATTTATGTATGTATGTGGTAAATGTGTGGTTTGGTTTCGTCCATTGTGTGGTGACTGAACAAATTACGGTTAAATTCTATGTTTATCAGATTTTTGGAGTGTTTGATACGCTTTAATGTAGTGCACTCACCCATGCAATCTCCTGCGAAACGCAAGAATTGTAATGGTGTTTTACTGGTAGCAGAAAAACATTATCATTTTTTTTGTTGTTGTTATTGTTTCAACATGGAAAGTTGTGTTGTAAATGAATTTTTTATTGGCACGCATCCCTCCTTGTTTCTTATCTTTATATGTGCCATATATACAAGTAACTTTTCCTCTGTTTTTCTAAATATTTTATCCATCTCTATCCCTCTGTCTTTCTCTTAATATATATAATAGTAATTATTATGGTTTTTTTTTTTTTTCTTTTTTCTTATTATTTTACGAGTGTACTTGTAAATGTAGTCTTGCTTCATTGGAAAGAATCTTCTTGATTTCTTTATCTATTCTTCTTCTTGTTTTTCTCTTTTTTTTTGCTTAATAAAGTGTGACGCCCTGCAGGGGGAGCAACAACAAACAAAAGAGGAGGGATTAAAGTCCCTCTTCCCTCCCTCCCTCCTCACACACCTCCATATTTTGGGGCATTCTCTTATTTAACGTTCTGGGTATATATTCATTTTTTATTTTTATAGAAGAAAAGAAAAAAGGAGGGGGGACCTATAGAAAGTATTTCCCTATCAGAGTGTAAGTAAAAAAAAAAAAAAGAAAAGAGGAGAATTATTAAAGTTTATTGGAAGCTAAGTTAATGTCTCAGACTGTACCTATTCGCACAGAGAGGCCAAGAATTCTTTCTCAGCGTTCTAATTTAAATAGTGCTGCTACATCATTTCCTGGATTCGTTCCAGGTACATCTTTTGATGCATCTGCCCCATCTAGGCGAGAGACTCTGCAGGAGTTTCAGCGACTTGAAATGATGTTGGAGGTGGAAACACCGTTGTATACAGATAGTGGTTTAGTTCTTTCTGATGATGATGATAATGATAATGATGATGGCCGTTGTGGTAATCGTGATATAGATAATATACGTATAGAGTATGATGAAAGAAGTGCAACGAAATTAAGAGGGGAGTCCGCTACAAAAGCTTCTCTCCGTGAGGCTAGAGAGGAGTATGTAGGTAAACCCTTACACACAGATCCATGTCAAATAGAAAGTATCTGGTTAGAAGCACAGCGAGAGTCTCAATTAGAGGAAGCTGCTGCTTCACCCCATATGGGTGAAACCTTTTTGAGTGGACAACATATTTCTCTCGGAAATAATGGTGAACTTTGCTCTGAAACTCATGAAACTATTATGGAAGACCTTACAAAACTGGAAGATCGCTTGAAGCGAGCACGAAGTAGACAACGAGAAGAACGTTTGCATCGAAGTTCTTCAGTAGGTGTATATGAAGGAAAGGAGTCATCTGGGAGTGAAGAAACTAGATCTTCTTGTGGGGAATCAGAATTTGATCCAGAACGGTATGTAGCGCCATTGTTGTATCCTACAGAAATGTTGAGTGGTACGGATTTATTCTTACTAAACCATAGAGAAGAAGAGAAGACTGATGTGTGTAGTACCACTCTTCATGAGATTTTGCCTGATGCTGCCAGTCTGCAGGAGGCTTTGCGACTCTTACAGTACAGTATTCATTCCAATCGTCCTGATGTGCTGGCATGTGTACAACGTTGCAAAGATGAGCAACAGCAACAACATCAGCAGCTTCTTGTAACTAGACATATGAAATCTCCAGTCAGAGAGGATAAAAGATCTCCTACCAAAATGGCCAATGAAACTAAAACCGCTACCATAACAACAAGAGAAACCAAACACACTGAAGTTTCAACTCGTGCCCGTCCGGTAGTGGGTTGGCGACTTCCCACTGATGATGAGCATAACAATATTCCTACCACTACTCCTACTACCACCCCTACTACTACTACTACTACTACTACTAATAGTAATAATAATAATAATACTCATCATCGTCATGATCATGATGATAATGATGATGATGATGGGTTAGCACAAGAGTTGCGTACGGAGCTGCAGGAACAACGGCGAATGATTGAACGGCTAGCGGTGGCCCAAGAGGCGAATCTCCAGCGGCCTCAGCGGCCAACCCCCATTCTCTCTACTGCTCCTATTCTCTCTACACTTGAGAGGAGTGAACCTCGGCCAATGCAGACTCCCCAGCGAGATCCCACACGACCATTGCCGCCGGTCATTACAATAACTAACAATCGCCCACCAGCACAGGCAGTACCACAGGCTCCATATCCTCATCCTCCTCCTCATTATATGCAAGATGAGTTGCGGCGTTTACACCGTCAGTATGAACGTATTCTACGGGATGAACGGCATGCATGGATGGACTTAATGCAGAAACAAAAGGATGCCTTCACTAGAGAGAAACATGCAGCGATGGAGTCACTACGATATAGTACCGTACAGCAACAGAGGGAAAATACGGAGGAGATTAAACGTGCTTTAGTGAGTCAAGAACAAAGGCATAGACGTTGGCAACATGTGACTGATCTGCAACAGCAGAAGGAACTTGAAAAGTTATTAGGCAAGAGTATGCCTGTTAGTGCTATTGGTAATAAGGAAAATATTACCGCAGCTTTGATAGCACAAGGTCACCACCCATATTCTCAAAGAGAACTAAAACGAACTGTAAAGCAAAAAATGAAAAAACAAGGTGGTTTACAACAAGTAAAGGAAAACAAGAAAGGAGAAGAAGAGGAAGAAGAAAAAGAAAAAGATTCATCAGACAAGATAAAGAATAGTAAAGCAAAACGACCTCCCGTAAAGGGACCGTTTCGTGTTGTGTTACCCAAAGAAGAAGAAGAAGAAAATGAAGAAAAAGAAGCGAAAAATGAAGTGCAGGATTTTGTAAATGATAGTTCTGTAGCGCTTGAAAAAAACAGAATGAATACAACTCAATTGATCTATAGTGAGACTGAAGGTGGTGCTCGTGTATTTACTGGACGAAAGAAAATCATGTCATCAACGCAGTCGCCAGTAGGGAGACGACGTTCTACAACGCGACAAACACAGCGTTTGCCTCGTGATTCTTCCGCTAAGCGTCAAGTGAGAAGTACAAGAGGAATAACTAAAAATATCTCAAAAACTGAAAATCAGAGTACTCAGTTAAATTCTCATCCTGTTGAGTCTGCTGAAAGTAAAGATGTAACTTCATACGCTTTTGCCGTTGAGGATGCTCAAACTGCTTCTCCACGAAAATTTCAGACCACCGCAGAGAGTATTCTCTCTTCCTCTTCCACCTCTTCACTATCACCACCTCCTCCACCTCTCGCACGCTCACATTATGGTGACAAGTGGCAAAACCAACGGGCCGTTACAGCAGCACAGGCGTTATTTCTGCGGGAGGTGGTGTTACTATCAGACCAATTAACACCTGAGGAATCTGAGAAACGACGAAGTTTAGAATATGCTTATGACGCTTCTCGCTATATTCCATCTCCTGTAGTTCAGAAGGAAAGTTCTACAGAACCTTCTCGTGCCTGTGATATGTATTACTTTGGTCAAGAGTATGGTAATTTAACACCACGTCGTCGGGCGAAACTGCGTGCGGTCGAAGCGCAAACACGATTGGAAGCAAGACGTCGTTTGGAACGCCTAAAGGCCCTTTCATTACCTCCAAGAGTTCAAAAACTTGGTGAAGCTCCCCCACATTTATACGAACAGATCGATGGTGAGGATTATACACGACAAGAGGAACGAATAGCAGATCTCATTGCCAATGAGACGATTCACTCTATTATTGGAGATGCTGCGGAACAGAGTTTATTTTCTGATTTACTCCGAGAATTAGAGAGTGAGTTGGTAAGAAGTGAATTACGTTCTATGACTACAAGCAAAATGAAGTTGAAAAAAGGAGGTGAGGAAGATCAATTAGGGGAAGTACAAGATGCACCTGAGATTATGCTTGTAGAACGAGTGGATATAACATCAACATCTGGTACTGGTGGTAATATTATTAATGAAGAATTATCATTAGATGAAACAGTTTTACGTTGTATAGAAGAAGCCATTATGCAGTCCATTTTAAAAACGGATGAAGAAGAAAATAAAGCCAAAACAAGCATAATAAAGGAAAAAGAAGAAGAAAAGGAGCAAAGGGTGGAAACAGTTGCAAAAACGAACCTCCAATCTGACGAAACTGTGGAAATCTTGTTAGAAGAAGTTTCTAGAATTGAAGACAATCCAGTATGGGTACGAGAAGTTGTCTCTACCACGAAAGATCCACTTTGGTCGAATGAAATAGTTACTGGACCACCACAAGGAGGAGTATCACTCCAGCAGCAATTACCACCACCACCACCACAACAACAACAACAACAACAACAACAACAGTCTGTAATTAAAAAAGAGGATCCTCAACCCCCTTCCAATACCTCAAACGCAGGTGTAGTGCTCTCTTTAACTGGATCTGGTAGTAGTAGTGTTGTGACTGCTGAAGGTGGAACACTTCGAATTGTTCTTGATGTTGCACCAGTGATGCAGCACCTTACGGATACGATGTCCCAATTACAACCACAAGTGCGATCAACATCTTTACAACAACAACAACCTATACAGAGAGTTGAAATTGCTAGTGAAGACAGAAGGTTATTTTCTGATACCGATGAAGAATTATGTTTCTCTGAAGTGCTAGATGTACCCGTCAGGACAGGAATCCATAATACATTGATGGATAAACCATTTATTCTTTCACAGTCAATACAAGAAAGTTTAATTCCTCGAGTAGTTCAACTCACAGAGGTTGGTACTGTATCGACGAGTGTTATCCCTTCAAGTGGTGTACAAAGTGATTTACATCCTTCGATAAAAATGCAAAATCCACCTGTATTGAAAAATGAGGTTTTACCAGAAACAACTCTCATTAGTCAAGAAAAAGAAAGAGAAAAACAGTTAAAACGGGAACAAGAAAAGGAACAAAAAATATTTCAAGAAGAAGAGTCACTTCAACGTCAAATGTTAAACGATCAAGAGGAAACTTTACGATCCTCATGGTATATGATGTGGGACTGGCATCAAATGAATCTTTCACTGTTACAGAAGCAATCTCAACAGAAGCAGAGAGATCAAGATTTAGAGGAGGAACATAATGAAAAGAAAATATTAAATATTAATCCTATTCTACAAGAGTCTACAATTGTGGGTAATGTAGATTTACATCCTAATGAATCTAGATTACCACCAGTACCTTCTCCTGTTGAAATTCGTGATCCTATTACAAGGTTTATATTTGAATGGATGCATGAATATGATGAAAAAAATACGGTTTATGAAAAACAAGAACCAAAATCTTTTCTAGAACGATTACATGAGGCAAGTTATATTGCAGAAGGTAAGATACCTGTTAATATGGCTAATGGTGAAGATGATGGGAATACTTCATCTACTGTTCTGGATGTACGTCGACAGTTACTCTTAGATATTGACCAGAATAATGATTCCTCTTCTTGGCTTTCTTCTACACATCCCAGTAGTATTACTGAAAATGGATTTCCACAATTTGTGAAACGATCATACGGTGCTCCTGTGAGGAAATATCCACATCGTACGTATCGTCACAGTGATGAAAATCTATCTTCCATGACAACAGAGACAACTCAATTCTACTCTTCCTCTTCTTCTTCTCCTCCTGTGCAGGTATTTAATTCATCTCCTATGCCTAATACAACAACAACTACTACTACTACTACAGCTACTACTAACACTAGTTCTGGTGGTACGAGGTCTTCTACAAACTCATCAGAAAAACCAAAACTTCGTGAAAGAATGTTACGTCACTTACGTAGTATACAACCACATGAGCAACATCAACAAGTGCATCAGTGGACAGTGGAAGAACTGCGACAGAAAGTAGAGAATATTCAAGAAGCAGAAAAAACGGCTGCTGCTTCGGCTGCTACCATTGCGAGAGATGCAACCCGCATGATGGGATTTGCTAATGAGCAATTAATATTTACAGGTCCTCCTGTTCAATCTACGCCATCTCCACAGCAACCTCAATGGTGGTAGATGTTTTTTCTTACATTTATCTGACATTTTTTTTGTTTAGAACACAGTTAGTGATAGACATGTTAACAGGGAAGAAGAAAGTAAAAAAAAAAAAAAAA